CTAATGTCCGAGTATATGTGTGAACTGATAACAATCAGTCTGATGATTTCAAGAGCTGCTGTGTGTGTTCTGAATCTAGAGTCCAAGGCAGCTACATGTTTGAAGGATGAGGCTGAATTTTTCTTTTCTCTACTCAACCTTAAAGTCAGTAGTTTAGTACTGTCAGTAGTCAGTAGTAGTCAGTAGAGCTATAGTTTAAAATAGTTGCCATTTTTCTAATGCCCATACTACTGCAAGACAGTCTTTTACAGTAGCTGAATAACTAATTCCAGCTTTGATTAATGTTCGGCTGCCATAAGCTATGACTTCTTCCATACCTTGTTTTTTTCGCTGTCAACACTGCACCCAGTCCTGAGTCACCGGCATCAGTGTAGACAACAAGCTGGAGGTCAGGATAACTCAGGATGGGGGGGTGAGGTGAGATATGTCTTGTTGACACTGTGGTGACCACTGAAAAGTACATCCCTTTTTCTTCAAGGCATTTATAGGCTGTGGTATCTGAAAGAAACTGGGCACAAACCGATGGCACCATCCTACCAACCCGAGAAACTGCTGAACTTCTTAAGGTTCTTGGGTGGCGGGAAGGAACAGATGGCCTCTACTTTGCTGGGGTCAGCAGAGATGCCTTTTGTGTTTCCCACATGTCCCAGAAATGTAAATTCCTGGTACTTCACCTAGGACAGTCTCCATCAATCTCTGAAATGCTGATGGAGCATTTTTCAACCTGAATGGCATGACTTTTAATTAACATAAACCAGATGGAGTGATGAAAGCAGTCTTGGACTTGCTCTCTGGTTCCATCGTCACTGAGGGATTCCAAGATCTCTGTGGGTTCTAAGGGTTAAGGATATTGATCAGTCACACTTCCCTTTAGATGAACTGCAGGAGCAGGACAGCTCAGTTAACCAGAATTCAAACCATCACAAAAGTGTTCAGTGTCCAATCCCAAACAGCAAAAAAGGTCCAGTTTCACAGAGCAAATGTAAAAAAAAAAAAAACAACTTCAGGAAACAAAGTCAAGTTCAAAGAAATATCTTTAAGTTTTCAAATTTTCAGTTTCAATGTTTCAAGTCCCTGTTCAGGCGCCACTCCTGTAATGTTGGCAGCCATACATTCAAATCAACGAATGACTTAAATTGATAATGATTAATTTGTTAAAACTGCCAAAAAATGAAAGAAAATAACCCAGATAGCTTAAATACCAACAGTTACATACATCCATATGAACAATTACTGTCAACTAAAACTCGACATAAAACACTAGGAACATTGGTTTAGAAATGTTTTGCATCTCACACAAAACTAATGAACACAACTACACTGAACTCAAATCTTGTTCAAAAGAAAGATAACACAAAAAACACTACTTTAACAAATTCTTTGAACTATGGCGAAATGATCCCTTCAATATCATTTCAAAGACAGTACATTTGTGAATCCATTTCTCAAATAAATATGAGCTTAAAATAAGAAAGAAAAAGACTATCAAAATTTGGGGCAAATGGTGAGATAGTTCAATGCAATTCGAGTTTATTTTTATAGCGCTTTTCACGATGCAAATTGTTGAAAAGCAGCTTTACAGAACATTAAAGTTTCTACATTATATTTAGTAGTAGCTCATCAGTGGTGACTATCTCAAGTTGTTCATATGGCAGAAATGTACAGTAAAAATCATGCAGTTAATTAATGACATGTAATCAAACAGACGGTGAACAGCAATTATAATATGATGCAATCAAACTTATAGCAGAATGTGGTAGTTCTGTATGTTGTTTCAGGGTTGGCATCATCTGAGGTCCTCTGAGGGGTTGGCATCATCTCTTCTCAGGTGTTCTGGATCCAGACTGAAGCTTGTCCTCGGCAAATCAAAATAAAACTAGTGATAACAAGGTACTCTGATTGTTTTTGTTGTAGAATACAATGGGGGATATATTCACACGTTATAGAAACAAAAATGATGGTGTATAAAATTGATTTTAAGATTGAAAAATAGACGATAAAGAATGAACTTGACGGAGCTTCAACTCAAAACACGCGGCAGCAACAAGGAAGTGAATCTAAACGCTTTCCCTACGCCTCCACCTGTTCAGTCAAGAACAGCTCAAGAGTGGAAGCACCTACAGATTTAATGTGAAAGATCTAGGCGGCTTTTGTGCTCATAAACGCTCAGCGCTGAAGTCTTTATTTGGGAGCACCGCACTCTCCAGCGATCTTTTGTGGACGACTAGCCTTTTGGGGGGACTTGAATGAGTTAGTGACATTGTAAATCTGCATTATTCTAGAAATCACAGATTTGGAATGACAAACTTCTCTTGCTATGACTGATATTGGCCTTCATCTGGACAACCTGCTGTCCCAGGGTTTCAGTCACCTTAGAGCGGCCCGCAATCTTTCAATCTCAGTGGAAATTAGAGGAATGCTGCCAGTGAAATAAGATTTGTCATATAATTAAGGAAATTAGCACCAGGTTCCAGATTAACACTAATAAGTTGGAGGTATCTGTAAGTGTTCTCTAATTTTGACCAGAGTTCTTTTTCAAATATCTCATTTAAGTTTTTTTTTACTGTGCTTCAGAATATATTTAACTCGTGAAATATGCTTAAAAAACTGCCCTTCTTCTCTTGTTCTCCGCATTTCCATTGAAATGTGATACTAACTTATGAACTAACATAAACCTCTGACCTGTTAACACTTGTGTCTTGTGTTTGTTATTTATTTATTGCTACAGTGGTTTTAAACTCGTTCTGCTTTACAGCTGTGGTCAAAATACACACTTATACACCACTGTTTATTCACTATTATAAGCTATGCATAGCCTACTACACATTGTAGAGTAGAAATAAACGTAATTTTGATTTTTCCATAAATTACCCAGACTGTCTGTTGTCGTGACATTGACATTAACATGCCAGAACCAGTCTTGAGACAATACACAAGATCTCAAACTAAACGCTCTGGTTACTGTCGTAACCTTGGTTCCCTGACATAAGGGAACAAGCGTTGTATGGAACGCATATGGGGAAAACTCCTATGTTACTCTGTACTAAAGCCTGATTTGTTCACGTTTGTGTAGCTGCACAAACCAATGGTGCTTTAGCGCACCAGAAAGGGCGGAGCCAACCACTATATAAGTTGGTTTGGAGCGCCATTCATCAGATCATTCGACTGAAGCGACAGTCATCAATTCGTGTGCAGCTTATAGCGCGGCAAGTGATGCAACGCTCATTCTCTTATCTCAGGGAACCGAGGTTACATCAGTAACCGGAGCGTTCCCTTTCGAACGGTCTCATCTGTTGCATGGTTGCATCCAATCACGCCACGCTATGAGCAGATACAGAATAAACTCTCGGAGCGCTAAGATAAGGGCCCCTAAGAACATGAGCACATTGTACCCCAAGCTAGTAGCTGAGAAGCACGAATATAACCAGCTTCACCCAGAAGGGAAGAATGGCAATAAAACAGAAAGAACCCACGCCTGCAGGGCAGGGACGTCTAAGTTGTAAAATCTGACAAATTTGGACAGCGAGGACCAGCCGGCGGTCACAAAAACCTCACCAATAGAGATCCCGCTGGACCAAGCCCAGGAAGAGGCCATACCCCTTGTGGAGTGTGCCCTCACACCTATAGGGCATTGTAAGCCTTCTGAGGTGTAAGTGTGACGGTCTTGCCTGGGCGGTCTGCTTTCTGCACAATGGAGACAGCGTGTGTAAATAGGATTTCACGGATTCAGTAAGAGAATAAACCATTTATACAGCAATGCTTCTTTAACTCTGCTCTGTTTAATTTTAAACAGTTATCTTTTTTAATTCTGTCACTCAAATTATTTTTTAGTTTGTGATCGTATAGAGTTTTGGTTTTAAATATTAACAGTTTGAATATAGATGACACACTTTCAATTAATTATAAATCACAAGTCAATGAATGAAGATCCTCAATGAAATACAGAGCAATACAATTAAACTCACAGTTAAGGGAAACATCCCCACCTAGCGGAGAACTTGAGCAACTCATTTTGAATCAAACATTTAACAACACACCTGCACAATGGAGACAGCGTGTGTAAATAGCCAGGTAAGTTTCAGTTTAGTTTGCACCAATCCTGGGTTTTAGGTACCATGAAAGTGGCTTGGCTTTTAGCTGCATTCGTTGCCTTAGTAACTTACACTGCACAGCTAACCTGGGGCCTGTACCATGATGGTAGATGAACAGATTCAGAGTTACAGGATTAGTTTCGAGTATAAAAGTATCGGTATCGGGCGAGTACTGGAAAAAGTGGTATCGGTGCATCCCTAGTTAGCATTTTCCAGATCTCATACTGCACCTTTAAGAAGAGTTTTGAATCTCTCTGGCTCTCTTGCAGAGAAGTGAATCACACATGCTCTGTGTTGCAAGGCTTGTGATTGGCTGTTTGCCACTGATGTAACACATTCATGCTCAGGATCAAAGCCTGAGTTGACAAAGAAAGTTGATGAACAGCATCATGGTACCAACAAAGCCTGATTGGAGTGGTTTGGTTTTGTCAACTCGAAACTAATCCTGTAACTCTGAATTTGTTCATCTACCATCATGGTACAGGCCCCAGGTTTCAGTACAGAGTAAAACAGGAGTTTTCCCCCATATGTGTTCCACGCAACGGCAGAGACCGTTCGAAAGGGAACTAAAACCTAGGTAGCCACTTAAACTGCCTATGTGACATAGGCCTGTGATTTGCAATAAAATATTGATAATAAAAAAAATAAAATTGATGATCTTTTGACCTGACTTGATTTTAATAAATATTTTGTTTATATGAAATTAAAATATTCAATATTTTTTATTACATTTTATATAATTGTAATATGTTCTTGATAGTGTAACGTGAATGGTGTTCCGTATTAAACGATAAAAGTGGCGACTTTTATTTTGAAACGCAGCGCTGTAACGTGCTCTTGCTGTAGCTGCGCACTCATACTGTCATGGCGGCCCAGTGCCCGCTGCATGTGTGTGTGAGTGTGTTGTGATGTTCGCTGAGTGTTAGGATGAGAGAGATGATGATGATGATGAGGATGAGGTGGGGGATGAAGGCTCGGCTCGCGGCTGTCAGAGGCTTTCATGAGCGGACAGTGGCAGTGAGTTTAGCGGACAGGTGAGAGACTCTTCATCAGTCAGTGCTGATGAGCGCTGAGACTCTTCAACCTCACAACACACACTGAGAACACAACAACACCCTAAAGATAACTCTACAAGTACCTTACAGCGCCGCCGGCGTATGCCAATCCATCAGTACCATGGTATTACTGTGGTGTTACCTCACTGTGTGGTGGTGTTACTGTGTGCAGGAGGATGGAGATCTCCACTGGGAAACTGGCCCGCTTCGCTGACGGCTGTGCGGTGATCAAGGTGTGTGTGTGTGTG